TCAAATACTGTGGAGCCAGAGTCAGGATCACACAAGATTTAACAGCTTCAACATTAAAGTAATAGAGGACTTGGATTATATTCCAGGGGGCAAAGGATCTAGGGTTACAACCAAGAATAACCCACCCAGCAACAAAGTACAATCCTTCAGGGGAAAAATGGATATTTAATAAAATAGAGGACTTCAGCATTTCTGAAGAAAAGACCAGAGCTAAATAGAAATTTTGACATTCCAACAGAAGACTTTAGAGAAGCATAAAAAGGTAAACATGAAAGAGTAATCGTAAGGGGCTCAATGGAATTAAACTGTTTATATTCCTATATGAGAAGATGATACATGTAACTCCTAAGAACTGTATCATTATTAGGGCAGTTACAAGGAATCTGCATAGAGAGAGGGCATGGGTGTGAGTCATGTTGAGATAATCACCAACAGGAAAAAAAAACATAGGGGTGAGAAAGATGGTGCACTGGGAGAAGGGGAAAGGGAGAGGCAGAATAGGGCAAATTTTATCATTTAAAGGAGAAATGCAAGGAAGAGCTTTATATGAAGGAGGAAATGGGTAGTGGTAGCAGGCAATACTTGAACCTTACTCTCATCGGAATTGGTTCAAAGAGGCAAGACTATATGCACATAATCGTTGAGTATAGAAATCTATCTTACTCAATAGGGAGATAGGAGGGGAAGGGATAAAGTGAAATGGGGAGGGGATAATAAGAGGGAGAGCAGATTGGGGGAGGCAGTAATTGGAAGCAAAACAGACTTCTGAGGAGAGACAGGATTAAAAAAGAGGGTGTGAAGGATAAACGAAGGGAAATGAGATAGAGGGAAACGCATGGTTAATGATCATAACTGCGAACGTCAATGGGATAAGCTAACCCACAGAATGGAGGTAGATAGCAGAATGGATTGGAAACCAGAATCCAACAATGTGTTGTATACAAGGGACACACTTGGGACAGAAAGACACACACAAAGTTGAAATGAAGGGTTGGAGAAGGGTCTATCATGTCTCAGCTGAAGTAAGGAAAGCCAGGGTGGCCATCATGATCTCAGACAAAGCCAAAACAAAATTAGACTAGTTAAAAGAAATAATCAGGGAAACAACATTTTGCTAAAAAGGTACCATAGACAATGAAATGATATTAAAAATTTAACAAGTTTCTCTAATAAAGGCTTCATTTCTTCAATATATAGGATACTGAATCAAATTTGTAAAAATAAGAGCCATGCCCCAACTGCTAAATGGTTAAATGATATGAACAGGCAATTTTCAGAAAAAGAAATCAAAGCTATCGATAGTCATATAAAGAAATATTCTAAATCATTTATTAGAGAAAGGCAAATTAAAACAAATCTGAGGTACCCTCTCACACCTATCAGAAATGCCAAATGCTGGAGAAGATGAGGGAAAACATGTATATCAGTGTACTGTTGTTGGGGTAATGAACTGATCCAACAGTGCTGGAGAGCAATCTGAGACTATGCCCAAAGAGTTGCAAAACTGACCCAGCAATATCACTACTAGGGCTGTATCCCAAAGAGATCAAAGCAAAAAAGAAAGGGCCCGCATAGACAAAAATATTCACAGCAGCTCTTTTTGTGGTGGCCAAGAACTGGACCTCGAGGGGATGCTCATCAGTTGGGGACTGGCTGAACAAGTTGTGGCATATGATTGTGATGGAATACCATTGTGCTATAAGAAATGATGAAGGTCATGGCTTCAGAAAAAAAAAACATGGAGAGATCTATATGAACTGATGCAAAATAAAGTGGGAAGAACCCTGAGATCATGTACACATTAACAGCAATGTTGTAGTGATGATTAACCATGAAAGACTTGACTACTCTGATCAATACAGTCATCCAAGACAATTTCAAAAGACTCATGATGAAAAAAATGCTTTCTGTCCACCTCCACAGAAAGAATGGATGAATTCTGAATGGAAACTGAAGTATAATTTTCTTGTTTTCTTTTTTTTTCTGCTTTTTTGTAATATGGCCAATATGGAAATACGTTTTGCATGATTTCATATCTATAATTGATATCATTGTTTGCCTTCTCAGTGAGTGGGGGAGGGATGGGAGGGAATCTGGAACTCAAAATTTAAAAAGAAAATAATGTTAAAAATAAAGAAATAATAAACATAAAAAGTTAGGGGGGAAAAAGTATTATTGTCTCACTAAGGATTTAATTAGGAGGACCACAATTTAATTCATTATATGCTTCTAGTAAAAAAAAAATTCCTAGAGGCTTTTCAGCAAATTTAAGCTTTAAGAAAATAATCATTCAAGTGAACATTTTTATTAAATTAAGTCATTTGCGATCGTGAAAAAAATAAAGTTCATGACAAGCAGCACCCCCTCCACTAGTTATCATTTAGTTGTATGTGACTGCACATGAGAATTTGCATCTTTATATGCACCTAACATTTTGCATTCAAGCTCTCTGTGCTGGTGCATTACCTTCTACTAGACTGTAAGCCCCATGAAGGAGGGGACTTCTTCACTTTTTCTCCCTTTTTTCCACCCTATATTTCTAAGTCTCCCCAGTGCCTGCCATAGAACTTTATACAAAACAGGCACTTGGGAAACATTGGGCATTATAGATTGGATAACTCTCATTTTTATGCTTATTTTCCTTATTTCATACCCAGTTGAGAGTTTGTTAGAGAAGGATTAGTCAGGTGGGCCTGTGGTTAGTTTCAAGTCAAAGTTTTTAACTCTTCCAACAAAAATTAGACTTTAAAAAATGTAATAACCTTTTCCTCGGGGAACATCAAAGTGCTTTACAAATGTCGAGCCCGATTTCCCCAGTACCTAACACACCTCTAGTTATAAATCAGGTCCCTTTGCAAACTGCATTTAAGTCTTTCATGCCACCAGGACACCATTCAATGAGTTACGGAGAATATGGCCCACTCTTGCTTTAGTTCCCATTAAGAGTAGACATGTTGGGGCAAAGATGGTATGTGAATGGAGTTTTTGTCATTGAAATGGTATTTTAAGTACAGCAAGAGGACTTGGGGTTTTATTCAAGGAACCCTGCAGTCAATCCTTTTGTAAAATAAAGAGTTCTTGGGCAACGGAAATAAGCATCCTCTAATTTTTCTGGCTTGGTCCATTCTGAAGTTTGTAACTCGGGTCTCCTCGAACTTTGTCATGTGTTTTCATCATAGCCCAGGGTTCAGGAGAAGGGTTCGGGATTACACAGGGCCTCACCACCTCACTTCCGGCTCGACATGTTCCCAGTGGCTTAGAGCTTGACTCCCATCTTTGTATCCTTCTTGCAGTAGAGAAGGGTGGTGACAAAGTGGGGGTAAAATTGAACTCCATGTCCAGTAAGAGAAGCAGCATGACCCACGAAAAGAGGTGCTGGATCTGACAGGTTCAAACCCTGGCTCAGAGTGACCTTGGGCAAGTCACTTTCCCTCCTCTATAAAATGGAGAGGTTGGACTGGATGCCCTCCAAGATCCCTTCCAGTTCTGGCTATAGGATGCCACAGAGTCACTAAGCCTAGCAATACTTTACATGTAGACCAAAATTCCCCATTGAGACACCTAACTGGTCTACTTGTAACATTTCATCCTTCAGGGTTATGATAGAAGGAAGCTCCCTTACCAATGGACATGAGTAACTGATCCACAGTTAGAATCCTAGAGAGCTATTGGGGAGACTCACAGAGCAAAGCAACCCAGCCAGGACACGTCAGAGACAGGACTGGAGCCCAGGTCTTCCTGACTCCAAGGCTGGCTCTTTAGTCACAAATTATAAGGTTAAAATAAGAATTTGTTCAGAGAAAAGTCTAGGCAGACAATTTCCATATCCAAAATGGTTGGTAAATGAGGTGTTTTGCTTAGTGGAATAGTCTGTGTAATTGAAAGTTAAACATAGAGACCATGAGACACACTTACTTGTGTATGTGATAAATACAATGACAGTAGGAGACTGACTAGAGTTAGTGAGTTAGTGAGACCTAGGTTCAAATGATGGTGCCATGAAAAGTGAGCTGGATTTGCAGTTTGAGGATTCAGATTCAAATCCTAGTTCAGCTATTTACTAGCCATATGACCTTGGACAAATCACGGGAAATGTTCAAATTAGATCTGGAAGGGACTTTTGAGGAAATCCAGTTCAATTTTACAGCTGAGGAAATTGAAGCTAGGAGATGTTAAGTGACTTGCCTAGTAAATGTCAAAGGCAGGATCGGAACCGTAGTCTTCCTAACTCCTAGTCTTGTACTCTATTCACTATGATCTGGACTTCACTTTCTACATTCATAAGATGAGGATAATAATATCCTTCCTGCTTGCTTCACAGGGCTGTTATGAGACCCAAATGGCTAATATTTGTAAGGGGCTTTGCAAACCTTTCAAATGCCTACTAAAAATTCCAGCTGCTACTCTATGGACAAGGCAGCCCCTTGGGATGCCTCCAATCTGAGTTCCTTGGAGCTCCTTCTTTCCACACCATCATCAGGAGAGTCAGGGATTAAAAAGGTGGATTTTGGTCTTAGGGAGAAGAATCCCTTAGAAATGGCCAGACTATCCAGTGGCATTATTCAGTATGTCAAGGTTTCAACTCCCTGAGATATTTCATGAGTGTGGCAATTGCCTTCACCAATGCACACTGAAACCCATTTACAGTTTATAGTCCTCAAGTGTGGTCTGAGGCTCAGAGACTTTAGGTGACTTGCCCAGGGTCACACATCTAAAAGGTGTGCAAGGCAGGGCTTGAACTTAGATCTTCCTTACTCCAAGTTCAGAATCCAATGCATCATTCCCTACTTTTTCTCATTGTATGGTACTCTAAGAAAATAGTAGCTCTATGGAGGGAGATATTGGAGATTTTTATCAAAGGATAAGCTGGATGGGAGCTGGCTATGTCAGAGCAGTCTTGTTCCACATTCTTCATGCTGAGATGAAGCTTTCAAGAGAAAGCCAGAGTGGTGACTAATCCAATTTTCCATGTTCTTTTTTTTTTTTTTTTGACAAACCAGTATTGTGGAAGCAAGTGATTGAACAAGCTGGAGGAAATATCACCAAGTCATTGAACATCAGTTGTCTCTCCAAGATCACCGATGGATTCACCCAAGGACAAATAGTCCAAGTCATAAAAAGCATTCTCACTGACCGGCGAATCCGGCTGCAGAAGCAAAAGGCTCTGACAGCCGTGGAGTTCATCACGAGCTTGGCTCGGATGGACCCTGTATACAAAGAGGAGGAAGAAAGCTTTAAGGTAAGCTGAGCACAGCCAGGTCTGTGGCTTGGCCACAGAAGGTGCCCCATGCTGACCTCACCCTCTACTCTTCCATCTGGAGGGTAAGAGAGTCTTTGATCTAGAGAGCTGGGAGGGACAGAGAAAAAGGCCACTATATTTGAACTGAGAGAACTTGGGCTCCAAACCTACTTCTGCCCCCAAAGGCAAGTCCCCTAAATTCTCTGGGCTTCGGTTTCTTCAGAAGTAAGAGGCAAGGATTGACCACAATGGCCTTCCAGCTCAAAATCTGTGATTATCTAATATTCGGAGTCACTTTGACCCCACCAAACAAAGACACACCCACACTCAGATACTCACTTGCCTCCACCCTCAACCCAACTCCCCCCCCAAAACAAAACCCAACTCAAATAAAATAGAGGGACAATATTCCCAAATTCAGAAGAAATAATTGCTAATAGCACCTTAATTTTGCAAAGCACTTTATGGATATGTCATTAGATCCTCACAACAGCCCTGTGAGGTAAAAGCCTTTATTATTCCTGTTTTACAAATGAGGAAACTGAGGCTGAGTGAGGTTATGTGATTTGTGAAGGTCACACAACCAGTAAATGCCTGAGGCAGGATTAGTATCCAGGTGTTCCTGACTCCATGGCCAGCCTTCTATCCACTATGCTAACCTACCTAAAAGATGGAGCGAGCTCAGAGGAAGCCTATAACTAAGCATGTCTTACTATTCCGGGAAAGGGCATTGGGATTTCTGTTAAAGTATGTCATCTTTATAGGCAGGGGCTAGATGGTGTGGTGGATAAAGCATTAACCTTGGAGTCAGGAGGACTGGACACTAGGAAAGTTACTTAACCCCAATTACCTCAAAAATTAAAAATGTAAAGCCTATCCTCTTTGGAAGTAAGCCACAGAGATGCCATTAAAGAAATGTTTCTATGAAATGCATCCCTTTCCAACCAAAACAGAGAATCCTTTACTCCCCAGCAAGGTACTCTCCATGCTTCTGAGGAAGGGGCCATGAGGGCAGGGGTCTCACCTGGGGCAAAAACTCCCACTTCACCTCCAACTTGATTTCATTCAGTGTCAAGAACCAGGATTTTCAGGGGTGTGGGGGGGAGGGGTAACCTTTTAAATCTAACGAACTGCCAACCTCTGTCTTCCAGGGCTGTGATTAATCCAGCCCCCTCTTTGATCCTTTCCAAATTAATGAGTTCCCCCCTCACCTTTTCTTGACTAGGCATTTGCTTTTTAAACTCTTGCTTATGATATTTTAAAAAAAAACCTCTTTCCCTCATCCATTTGCATTTCTTACATGTCTTTGAAGAGATTATAACTGAAAGTGCCAACCAGAGGATCCTAGAATTAGAGCTGAAAGGAACCTGAGAGGGACAGGAATAGGAATTTGTAGAGAGCCCATTCCGGGCTCATTCTGGGCCCGTTCTGGGCCAGGCACTGTGCTAAGCACTTTCCAAAGACGAGCTCATTTAATGCTCGCAGCAACCCTGGGAGGTAGGTGCTATTATTATCCCCATTTTATGCTTGAGGAAACTGAAGCAAACAGTAGTTAAGTGACTTGCCCAGGGTCCCACAGTTACTAAGAGTCTGAGGCCAGATTTGAATTCGGGTCTTCTTGACTCCAGGCCTGGTGCTTTAACCATTGGTCCACCCAACTGCCCCTCAGAAGCCATGGAGTCCAGCTCTCTCATTTTACAGAGGGGGAAACTGGGGCCAGAGAAGCAATTCATAATTGTTCAAAGTCACAAAAGTAGAGAAAGGTCAAAGGTCCTAGATTTAGAGTTGGAAGGGAATTCAGAGACCACTTAAACCAATCCCTCTCCCTCTCCCCCCCCTTTTTTTTAACAAACAGGGCAACTGAGGTTCAAAGAGTTTGAGCGACTTGCCCAAGGCTTAGCAGGTATTAGGAACAAAACTTTTGAACCCACATCCTCTTATTTAACCGATACTCGCTCCACTCCTCTACAGTGCCTGTTTCTCAGATGAGGCAGCCTTGCTGATTTCCAACGTGAAGTTGTCATGCTGCATGTCTTCACACTCTCGCTCACCCTCAGTGGGCTTGACCACTAGTACATACTAAAGAGAGATCTTAACCCGCACGGTCTGCATCTCTCTCCCAAAAAGTGGACAATTCAGAGTTCACCAGACCGTGCCAGCTCTCACAATGACTTCTTTGTCCTTACCTGTGCTCTGGGTCCAAGTGCCTTAGAAGCAGCATGCTCTATTGGGAAGAGCCCTGGGCTTAAAGCTCAGAGCCCTGGGGCTTCCTGGTCCCGACTGTGACATTAACCAGCTGTGTGGCCTTGGACAGGTCATGTCACCCCTTTGTGCCTCAGTTTCCTTATCCAAAGAACAAGACTAAATGACTTCTAAGTTTGCTTCCAGCCCTGCAAGTCTATGATCATGAGTTATGGCATGCCCCCTTCCTATTCCTCAGTTTCCCTTGATCCTGAAATGCCCTAAACAGAAATGAAGTCTCTCTTTGGGACTCCTCACAAAAAGGAAACACAGCAAATGCAAAAAAAATCCTCTGTTAATGTTCATTGAACCCTGATTCCAAATGTGCAGGTAAATGGTATGTTTGTGCCTCAGTTAGCCCCTGTTGCTGGCCTCTTCTCTCTACTTTAATGCAGCCTGGCAGCTCCCTAATCCTGTCAGGTTTTTTCCCCCAAATTAAACACCGGATCTTTTTCTTGATCAATGCATTGAATAATTGAATCATTTAATAAACCCACAATTCATTCCCTAGTGTGATGCTTGGCACTCTAACTAATTACTAAACATACTGAATAATGACTGCCACCTGCTGGCCCTGTTGCCCAGTTTGTTACCGTCCTAAACCATTGGGGGATCAGTATCGAAGATTCTCTGTTAGCAAAGCAAGATTTGGAATTCCTCTCGAAGAAAGTTGATAGTTTTCGTGTGCTGAAACAAAGTGAATCTATTCATGGCCAAGGTGGTTGTCAGACATGTCCCAAGCACACAAGAGAAATCTACGCGATGCAGAACAAGCCATTCCAGGGAAAGATCCCATCAAGTCAGACCTCAGGGGTTGTTCACATTTGGGGTCAAACTCACAGAAGCTCTGAGTTGGGGGGGAACTCGGAAGCCACATGGTCCAGTACCTGCCAGACAGAGACTCCCCTGCTCCCACATCCCTGACAAGTGACCTTTCATTCTTCACTTTGAAGAACTCTGTTAGGTAGGAGCAGCTAGGGGGCGCCATAGTGCACGGTGTGCCAAGCTTGGAGTCAGGGAGACTCATCTGCCTGCGTTCAAATCCGGCCTCAGACACTAGCTGTGGGACCCTGGGCAAGTCACTTCACCCTGCTTGCCTCAGTTTCCTCATCTGTAAAAATGAGCTGGAGAAGGGATTGGCAAACCACTACAGTATCTTTGCCAAGAAAACCCCAAATGGGGTCATGGAGAATCACACACGACTGAAACGGCTGAACAGAAACAACAAGAATATTAGGTAGGAAGAGCTCCCTGCCTGCAGAAGCAGCCCATTGCACTGTAGCTAGAAAGTCAGTGTGGTGGAGTGAGTAGAGAGCCAGGCTGACCACGTGACCCTAAGCAAGGTATTTAACCCCTTAGTGCCCCCACAGCTCCTTAAGACCATCAACTGTAGTGAAAAAAAAACCCTAGCTCTAGAGTCAGAGATCCTCATTTCAAATGCTTCCTCAGACACTCCTGTCTGACCTTGGTACAACCTGGTATGACCTTGGTATGGCTTGGTATGACCTTGGTGTGACCTGGCATGATCTTTGGTATGACCTGGTATGACCTTGCTATGATTTTGTATGATTTGGTGTGACCTGTTATGACCTTGGCATGACTTGGTATGGCCTTGATGTGACCTGGTATGACCTTGGTATGATTTGTTTTGATTTGGTATGACTTGATATGGCCTTGGTGTGACCTGGTATGACCTTGGTGTGACCTGGTATGACCTTGGTATGACTATATCTCCTAATGAGTCTCAGTCTCCTTGGTTGTCAATGACAGAGTCACAACAGAGTGTCTCTGAGGTCCCTGCCAGCTCCATGTCAGTGAGGCCCAGGGCTAAGACCCCCTCTCTCTGGTTTTAATGGCAAGGAACAAACATTCATTAAGCATTTGCCCTGGGCCAGGTACTGTGTAAGTGCTGGAGATACAAATACAAGCAAAAATAAAGACACACTCTGACCCAAGTAGCTTTCATTCTAACAGTAGAAGAAAGCATTTAATAGGGAGCTGAAAGAAGGAAGGAGAAGGAAGGTATTCATGGGAGGACATGGCTTAGAATCAGAATGCAACTGTGAGGGAAATGAAGCCTGGCCAGCCTGGGCCTGTTCCCAAAATGGAGGCCCCTGGAGGAACTCCTCAGCATGAGAACAGAACCAACATGGCCAAAGGAAATTTTAGGCGGAGTCACAATGGTGAAGTCCAGGGCTGGGAGGACAGGGAAGCCTGGCCAGCCTGGGCTTGTCTGCCCTTGCCTGCCCTTGCCTGCCCTTGCCTGCTGCAGCCTCATCTCTGTGGGCTGTGGGCATTGCTCTCCCCACCACCAGACTGGACCTCTTTCTAGCTTGTTGACCTCCCTCTTGTTCATCTCAAGTCCAGATATCCATCACCTTCGTTTCCTTTGGTCTCCTTGGTTTCAGATGGTTCCTTGTGATAAGTGAGCTAGAATTTGACGTTTTTCATCAGACAGATTAAAGCTCTAGTCCAGGCAGTGGGGCATAGGTGATAAGGAGGCAAACTTGGATCCAGGAAGAGCTGAGTTCAAGCCCTTCCCCTGACAGTATTGACTGTAGTCCCGAGCAAGCCACATCACTTCTCAAGGCTCTAGACCACTCTCAGATATTAAGTTACAGAGAAGGGGGCAACTTGCATTGGTAGAAGGAATTTCCTCACCAGTGAAATCACAGATCCATTGCCTTTATCCCCCTTTATTTTTTTAGTGGTTTTTTGGTTTTTGGGGTTTGGGGGCTTTTTTGTTTGTTTGTTTTTTAATAATCAACATTGCCCAAAGTTTTCCTCTTGTTAAGGGAACTGATGACCCCAAGAATCCTGTGTTTCTAAACTGTGTCTGTTCTATAGCAGGATGCAGTAGTGACTGGAGGAGGGGTGGAGGTGGTAGCAGGAGAAGTAGATTGGGCCAATAGCTTCCATCTCTCTATCCAGGAATGGGACATGCTGGAGGGACAGAAGGGGAGGGAGATACCTAGGCTGTGCTTATCTCCAAGTCCTGTTGCTCCAACCTTCCCAAAGTGTGAGGATGACTGCCTCTCACCCCAACCCCGATCCTTGCTCCTAGGCATCCTGATTTAGCCTTGAGTCCCAGGGACCCCTATTGCCCTTGACAAACAGAAAGTAGCTCATGCTGCCAACGTCAAAACAATGTTAGAAGGATGCCTCATTTCATCAAAGGACCATGGCTTTTGTCAATGCAGGGGTTCCATGCACCAATGAGACCACAGCTCCTCTATTTTAGTGGTCTGCCTCTGAGAATTGCCCAATTCATCACCTTCAATCCAACCCAGTGATAAGCCAGGCTTAGCTGGGCTGGTCCCTAGGCGACCAACATCTGGGGTCAAGGGGATGTAGTCCATGGCTAAACCCAACCTCAAAGCCTCTCAGTCTTGGTGGTGGGATCTGTTGGAACTTGTCTTCCATTGGCATGGCCTTGGGGAAGTCATTGTCTTTGATGTATCATCAAAAGATGACTTTAGTGGCAGGAATGATGATGATGAGGAGGAGGAGGATGGTGGTGATGATGGTGGTGATGATGGTGATGGTGACGATGATGATGAGAGCAGCTCATGTCAGTCAATAAGCATTTATTAAGCACCAACTATGTGTGGGGCACTGTGCTAGGCACTCAAGATTCAAAGAAAAGCAAAACACCAAGGAGCTCACCATCTAATGGGTTTCTCTAGCATTTTAATAATAACACTAAACAAGTAATAATCCTAACCATTTCTCCCATAGCTTCCTGTCTCTTAACCTTCTTGCTTCCACAGTCTTGGACAAATTATTTCACCTCCCTAAGACTCAGTTTCCTATTTTGTAAAATGAGGGGATGGGACTATGTGACCAGTTCTAGAACTAGAATCCTGTGATCTATGCAGTGGGTTAAGTAATGCAAGTATTATTATCCCCATTTTACGACGAAGAAAACTAAGGCTCCAAGAGATCATTCAGCCAGCAAGTGTTGTAGGTGGGATCCTCTCCCTACATTGACCGAGAATATTCCCACCCAACCATTGACCCAGATAATTTGGATCTAGGATAGTTTGAAATTGTTCTTATTCTTGTCTTTGGATTCCTAGCACTTAGCTTATGGCCTGGTACACAGTTAGTACTCAATAAATGTTTTATCTACCTCTATGGGCAAAGGACTATATTTCTGAGGAGGCAGGATTGGGAAAGCCCACATCTGGGGTCACACTCTGCTGTATATAGACTGGACCAAGGCACCATAGTCACTGGAGTTGAGGGAGCTGAAGGGACAGAAGTGAGTCTCACCCAAGAGGGTCAGATTGTCCATTTCAACTGTGTATTAGGTAGCCAGATGCAAGAAAAGGCCACAGGACGAGTCTTTATTGTACTGTTGCCTCTGTAAGTCCAGGAAACAAGTTCCTAATCAGCTAACAAAGTTTGCAACAGAAATCTAGTGAATGGGGAACTTTAGTAACTGACCCCTGACTCCCCAGCTCCCTCTGGACCCTACGCTCCCCATGCTCCATGGCTAGTTTCAGGTCAAATAAACCTTCCAGACCAGGTCTGGCAGGGTAGCGACAATGGCAACCAAGAAAGCTCTTGGCATTTTAGGCCCACTCTCCAGTGGCCACTACCCCTCTCCAACAGACATTCATCACTGGGAATTTTTATAGCAAACTCTTACGGTTTAGCCAAGAGTAGACCCCCTGTTGATTATAAGGACAATCCCCTCTCTCCTCTAATTTTTGAATGATATGGATTTTATAGTTAGACCATGTATCCACTTGGAATTCATTGAAGTATATGATCTAAGATGGTCTAAGCATAGTTTCTGCCAGTCTGCTTTCCAATTTTTCTGGAAGTTCTTTTGGAGGAATTCGTACCCCAGTAGTTTGTGTCCTCGGATTTATTGAATATTACACCACCACACTCCGTTGCTTCTGGGACTTGTTTACATACTCAGTTGATCAAAAAATACATAATAGATCTACTATGTTCCAGGCACCAGGGATACAAATACAACAAATGAAGCCATCCCTTCTGTCAAAAACCTCTATCTGTAAATTGACTGTTACGGAGGAGATTCCATGTCTAATCTCGTCTGTGAACCAATTTCCCTATGTTTTTAACCAATAGCCAGTGAGTGGGAGGAGGATGACTGGTATCGTGGCCTTATAGTTCTCTTAGATTTTGAGCCACTCTGTTTGGAGAAGAGTGTCCCTGGCTGGAGTCAGGCAATACCCAGAATGTGCAGTGGCGTCAACATGAAAATCCGTATGAGCAACCATTTGCCCTTGTCAGATGTCCAATTATCAGTGGTTCCATTGACCCTTCATAATGAATGAGAAGGATTGAAATAAGTTTTCTAAGGCTCCCTCCACAGAATGTTTGCAAAAATTTAACATTTTCTTCCTTCCTTCCTTGATTTCAGGCTTGGTACTCCAAGACCCCTTTGGGTAAGAAAAGAGCACATGCATTGTCTGGAGCTGATGAAAAGGACAAAGGAAAAGGAAAAGGAAAGGGAAAGGGAAAAGAAAAGAAAGGGAAAAAGAAGGGAAAAGAGAAAAAGTAATTCTTCATGTGTTGATCATCTTTAACTCTTTCACATTGATGTTGAGGTTGACCATTTCTCTGAAAAGAATGAATGCCCTATGATGCAGACCTAAGAAAATCCTGCCTGCTGAAAAAGCCCCAAGGAAAAAAATTCTTCAAATTATGGTTGCCCATTCATAGGACACTACAGGACCTGTATTTTTCATATTCATTCCATAAATTGACAAGCCACCACAGAATATTTTTGTCTCCTCAGTATGCTAGTCTTCCTAGGGTTTGTACACAATGAGACACACCCTTCAAGACCTTGCATTGCTTGGGCATTCCGCTTTAGTGCAGCATTGAATATTGAGCTAGAAGCTTAGTAATTAAAAGGCATCTTTGTTGGTAGGCTAATCAATATGACTTCTCTATTTCTCTATGGTGCCATTTTATTAATTTGTGCACTGTATATATATATATATCCTCTTATGCAATTAAAAAATATAATTCTTTCCTATATCCATTGATTTTGTGTGGCTAAATAAAATTTTTACACTTTAAAGGCTCCTCACCTATTTTTTTTTTATGAAACTACATGGAAAAACATTGTACAGTGGAGTATTCCTGGAATGCTGAGAGGACTCCAAATCTTGTCAGCTAAGCATTGATTGAGGAATAAAAATAATAATAATGAAACAGCGAGCAGCTAGGTGGCACAGTCAATAGAGTGTCAGGCCTGAAGTTAGGAAGACTCAGCTTCGTGAGTTCAAATCTGGCCTCAGACACTTACTAGCTGCGTGACCCTAAGCCAGTCACTTAACCTTGTTTGCCTGAGTTTCCTCATCTATGAAAAGAGCTGGAGAAGGAAATGGCAAACCCCTCCAGTATCTTTGCCAAGAAAACCCCAAATAGGGTCATGAAGAGTCAGACCTGACTGAAACGACTGAACAACAAAAATATTGAAATGAAGTCTGCCTTTTCACAGCTCCCCTGTTTATCCTGGAGAATGGAGCATCTGGAGAGGATGTGAAAGCTGATTTCAAGAGTTTGAAAGGCTGCCATGTGGAGGCCCTAGAGGCCAAAACCAAGAGCAATGGATATGGATTCAATATCGATGTTAGGAAACATTTCTCAACAATTCATGTTGTCTGAAGATGGAATGAATTCCATGGCACCATCCCACAGTCCCCATCACTATACTTCAGAGGCTGGAATCCTCCTGTCATGGGGGTTATAAGAGCCATACTTGTTCACAGGATCACGGAATCTGTGCCGAGGAAAGACCAACATTTAAAGAAGACTCATAGGCTGTCTTGTCCAGCCTGTACCCAAATGCAAGTGCCTCTTCCTCTACAACACACCCAACATAAGCATCCAGCCTTTGATGAGAAAGAACCCACTACTATCTGAGGCACTACCATCTGGTCACCTTTGAGTGGCTCTCGCTGTTAGAAGTTTTCCCTTCTGAAGAGCCCAAATTTTCTTCTCCAGCACTACCCACCAGAACTCCTGGTCTTGCCCTCCAAAGCCCAGGCTTAACAAGATTCATTCATCTTCCATGTGACAGCCCTGCAAAGTCTTGGATACAGGTCTCATGTACACACATGTGTTCTCTTCTCCATCATAAATGCCTCCAGTTCCTTCAACTTATCCTCATATGTAGTTGAGTCAATTTCAGTTGTGTCCAACTCTTCTTGACCCCATTTGGGGTTTTCTTGGCAAAGATACTGGAGTGGTTTGCCATTTCCTTCTCCAGTTCATTTGGCAGATAAGAAAACTGAGACAAATGGGGTTAAGTGACTTGCCCAGAGTCACACAGCTAGTAAGTATCTGAGGCCAGATTTAAACTCAGGAAGATGAGTCTCCCTGACTCATTCTGGCATTATATCCACCGTACCACCTAGCTGTCCTGTCCTCATATGCCATGTGTTCAAAACCCTTTCCCACCCTGATCACCTTCCACTAGATGCTTCCCAACTTAGTCATGTCCTGACTAAAACATGGCACCCAGAGCTGAGTCCAGTCCACTATATGGATGATCTGACCAGGGTAGTCCAGGATAACTGGACCATCACCTCCCTGGACACCAGTGGACCTCCCTCACTGCATGACTTTCCATTCAGGTCCAAGTTGGACTCAATGTCCTCCAATGTCCCTTTCAGTGTTGAGATTCTGTGGTTATACAGGGATAACCCACACTCTATAATACTTCAAGGTTTGCAATGTGCTCATCTAGAGTTATAAAAATGAACTTTGTGAAGCCTGCATTTTTTTTACTGGAGACGATTTGGGTAGCCACCACACCTCCACACCTTGGTCCACCCCTGGATGACTCTAGGACCAGTGAACTTGATTAGCTGCAGAAGTTCTCCCTCTTGTCTTTGTATTCCCAGGTCTGGAACCATGCCTAAAATATATTCGGTACTTAATAAAAGCTCATCAAGTGATCAGTTTGGTTACATGGTATTGGGGCTCTTAGATGATCTAGCCTCCTGCCTATAGAGATGCTGCCAGTGGCTCCTAATACGTATGGGACACACATCTCATTCTGCCACCAAATACCACCCAAACTTCATCTTCACATGTTAACCAGGATGCCTCCCACCAGGGCAGAGAGGAAAATGCCTTCATCCTAGGATTAAGGGCAGTAACTCACTGCACCAGAGACCTTGCCATCTGTGCTATGCTTTGGGTCAGTGAAGCCCAGCCCGTGTGTGCTTGGAACCTCCTAAGGAGTCTGTCCTAAAAGTCTTGTACTGCTGAGGCAGCTAGGTTGCACAGTAGGTAGAGCACTGGACTTGGAGTCAGGAAGACCTGAATTCAAATCCTACCTCAGACACCAGCTCTATGGCAAGTCCCTTCACCCCTTCCCGCCTCAGTTTCCTTCATCCACAATGGGAATGACAATAGCACCGACCTCCCATGGTTGTTGTGAGAATGAAATGAGACAATATTTGTAAAATGTTCTGCAAACCTGCAAGAGCACGCTATTATTACTGGTCCCTGATCCTGGCATCATCGAGGCAGAGCTGGAAAGGACCTCAGAGGTCATCTAATCCCACCTCTAACCCTTCATCCACAGAAAGAGAGCATTTCAATGACTCTTGAAAGTCACACAGGTAGCATGACTACTGGCAGGGCTAGGATCCCAGGACCTTTGACTCCAAATCCAGTGTTTTCCCCATTAGCTGACCTGACCCAAGTATTTGAAAGTCATTCCTTAGCTGTCCTCTCCTATCTCCATAAGTCTTTGGGGCTTTTCCTTGGATGTAGAGTCTCCAATCATACTTTCCCCTAGATGTGACCTTCTTTGCTCAGACCAAACACCCACATTTTCCAGGCTCTCTCTGTCTTTCTGGACTCCCAAGTTTTGTCCTCTCCTGCCCTGGGCCTATCCCACGGCTGGTCAAGGCCTGGCATCAATTCTAAGCAACTGACCAGCTTTGAAGAAAGGCTGAAACATTTCCCCTGGAGAAAAGCTGAAGTGGCATCTTTTCCTAAGTCCTGGAGAAGGGCCTCTCATGACCTTTTTCCAATCTACTTGAATCCAACCTTCCTGGGCACAGAGGGGAAGACACAGCTGACTAAGCTACAGCCTTCCCGAGGAATCACCCAGCTCTGGGAATCGGTGTTAATTGCAGAGCAATATGATTTGATATTTGTAGACAAATGAGCATTAAATAAAAAACAAAATGAGAGCAATCTCTTTTTTAATCTCAGCTGAACTGACTGCAGGCTGATTAAAACACACTTGTTCAAGCTCTCAGGCTGGTAATGCTCAATAAACATTGCCGAGCATAAAAGCTGTAATGCAACAGTTCAGAACTGGGAAAGCCGATCTCGATTGGAAATCTGCATAAAGTTCTCAATGAGAGGAGACCAGAGAAAAGGAGAAGCTTTGCACAAAATAATAAATAACTCAAGCATTAAAAAAAGAAGAAGAAATTGAATATAGATACATTTGGCCCACTGGTTAAAGGCCAAGCCTGCAGTCGGTAGGGGGCTGTTTGCCGCTTCCACTGCCCCCCAAGTCATATCATGCAATCCTTTGCTCCTCTCTTCAGAAGACTGTGTAATTAGATTAGCAAGTATTTTGTACAGAGAAACAAAAACATCCACAGTAGTGGTGCCTTGCATTGATAATATTCTTTCAAAATCAATTGTGGGTTTCAAACCTTTGGCTTAAATTGGAAAACTAAACCCAGTTTACATGTTATAACCTTGCAGGATTGCCATGTTTACCAGCATCCTCCACCTTCAATTCCATTTAACAAATATTAAGTACCTAATCTGTGCTAGGCACCTGGGGAATAGACAAAAAGGCTAAAAATTGGGGAAAGACAATCCCTGCCCTCCAAGAATTTACATTCTGCCAGGGAGGATGTTCAACATGTAAACATAAGTAAATACATACATATTTGCAAAGTTGTACAAATTAATTTCAAGATGGAGAAAGTTCCAAGGACTAAGGAGATTAGTAATGGTCTCATGTAAGAGATGGCCCCTGAGCTGTGCTTTGTAGTCATTGGTGACTTCAGGCCAACAGCTAACCCCACTAGTATAAACATGCCACCAGCTTGGACGCTGGTTCATAAAGAAAGCAATACCCTACATTGGGAAGGGGGAGAGCTTCAGGCTTTCTTGACGCATAGAAAGAACTTCAACTCCCCTATGGCTTAGTGGGATGGCGAAGTCATGCTTGGTTATTGCTTAAGATCTTTAGTCATTCAAAGTTATTTTTCCTGGCAATATTGTGTAGTTCTGCTCATCACTCTGCATCAGTTCATATAAGTCTTCCCAGATTTCTCTGATACCATCTCTTCTGTCGTTTGTTATGATGGAATAATATTCCATTTCATTCAAATACCATCATTTGTTCAACATTTCCCCAATAGACAAACTTTCCCTTTGTTTCCAGTTCTTGCGCCAAGAAAAAGTGCTGCTCTAATTATTTTTGTATGTTGTTGTTTAATCTCGTTGGGGTATAAATCTACTCATGATATCACTAGTTCCTTTGAACTCTACATAATTTATGTCACTTTGGAGGTATAGTTACAAATTGCTTTCCAAAATGGTTAGACCAATTCACAGCTCCACCAACAGGAAGCATGTACCTACCTTCTTGCCACACTGGTATAAATCCTGATCATACTGTATAATCCTTTTAACCCAGTGCTGTGACCCTTTTGCTAATATTTCTGAAATATTTAAATATTTTAGCCAAGATTCATTAGGAGTATTGGTCTATAATTTTCTTTTTCTACTTCTCTTGCTGGTTTTGATTTCAAGATCATATTTGATTCATAGAAGGAATTTGGTAAAATCACTTATTTTTATATTTTTGCAAGTAATTTATATAATGAAGTTAGTTTCTCATTAAGTGTTTGATAGAATGCATTTGTAACTCCATCAGGTTCTTTAGGTTTTTTCCCTTTAGGAACTCATTTATGATTTGTTCAATTTATTTTTCTGATAGTGGGTTATTTAAA